CACAATGGGGGGGGGGAGGGAATGACAACAACCCAAATTTAAGCCGATCCTCCAATAATTAGATGCTTTCCATGGAAAACAACAAGTTTATGACTTTCCATGTATAAAATCTAATTATTAGGAGGTCATTTTAAATTCAAAGTCATGTTGGATTCAAATGAAAACAGTAATTTCCAACCTGTGCCCCTTTTTAACTGTGCAATGATTTAAAAGAAGAATAATACCTGTCAAACCATAAGCTTTCAGGGTGCTCCTATCTAATTACCTAACTGGGGGTAAAGTCTGGTCAGTCCTGAGTGTGTCTGAAACGCTCAAAGTCAGGTCTGTCTGTTTACACCCAAGCAACCTGGCCACAGTTTCTCAAAGGGCTCTTTCAAATTTACCTAGTGCAAACCTCTCCCCCATCCATCCTCCCCCTTCAAAGTTACTGCGCCTTGTTTAAAAACAGAGAAGCAAGGAGCACATTTCTGGTAATAGCTTTTCTTGGACCAACCATGTAGTTGGGAGAGATGGCAGGGCAGAGCCGCAGCTCACTGGGGACCAGGTCTGTCCGCAAGGTGCAGGCAACCCTGGTGTGGGAGCTAAACTGGGAGAGACGCTAGAGGAGCTTTGGGCAGCAGGGCCCTTCCCCAGACCTGGGAAGGAAGCAGCTCCAGACTCGGGCGAATTGCAGATAAAACAAGGGCTGGTACCCAACCCGGGCCAAGTGCGAAGAGACAGTCCCTGCCTGGGGAGGGAGAAGGGCAGCCAGCCAGGAGCCAAGAAGCAGTCAGCAGCTGCCCAGGACAGGGAGCAGTCACTTGGGTCCACCCCGTGCAGCCTTCCCCGTCGCCGCCTGCCCCCGCCAGGGACCCCCCGAGCCCCTTCAGAGGCCGGCAACGAAACCTCGCGGCTCTACCGGGCCGGGCCGGGAACCTCGGGCCCCGCACGCACTTCTGCTGCTTGCCCGGGCTCCGGCTCCGGCTCCGGCTCCAGCTCCAGCCTCCCCGTCCGCTCCCCCTGGCGCCGCCGGGCTCGGAGCCACCTGTTGTGCCCGGGCAGGAGGCGGCCCGCACCCTGCTCACATGATGCTCCTTGAGCACCTGGCTGAGGCACGGGTACCGCTCCGAGATCCACCGGTAGAACTTTGGCACCCCCATGGCCGCCGCCGCGGGCTTCCGTCCGTCAGGCCGCCCTCGGCCCCTTCCGGCGCGCCGAGCTGACAGCCGAGCCGGGCTGGGCCGCGTCGGGTGCAGGGCCCCTGCGCCACACACGCGTGCGGGAAGAGCGGTCGCCTGGCGGGGCTCGGGCGCCCCCTGTGGCCGGGGGGCGCAGGCCCGGCTCAAGCAGGCAGCTACGGGGGTGCCCACTCCCAGTCCAGACAAGGGAAGGACGGGGCCAGGTGACACCCGCTCGCACCCGCTCCAGCCGCAGCGTTGGCGCAATGAAGGCGGCCTCCTCCCGGCCCGAGCGCGGCGGTGTAATGTAGAAAAGCCGGAGGGGGAGGGGTAGGCTTCGAGCATAGAAAGAAGCCAGAGAAAGGAGAGGAGGTGGCAGCATGGCTATTTCGAGGAAGGAGTCAGGAAGGGTGCGCGTACTTCTAAGTGCAAGTCCAAATCTTAAATTTGCAACTTGTTTGGCAGCCCCAAGAACTCGAGAACGTTTTCAGTTCAGTGGAGTTAGGTACAGGTCGGTCTAACACATGGGCGACATGGGAGAGGGGGACGGGGATATGCAGCCCCCCCGAGATTGGCCACTGCCACCTTCTACTGGCAGTCACCGCTCCCCCCCCCCCAAGCTGCCCCCCCAGTCTCAGGAGGCAGCAGTTGTTCATAGTCCTGATACGTCTTACGTACGCTACTGGACAACACCACATCCATCGGTATCCGTAGAGCACCCAGCATTAAATTTAAAAACACATATTAAATACTAGCCAATTGCCCATCAAGAATGGCAAGCAGGGGCTGCAGGTGGGGACAGAGGCCTGAGTCCAGCTCTGCTCCGCACCTTCAGGGCCAGGCCTGCTGCCCCTTTCCCCCACTCTCGCGC